CCGCGTTCCAAAAGACGCGGAAACCCTGATGGCCTGGCAGTGATGTTGGGCAAACGAAGTAGATCGGGTGCTGGGATCAAGCCCGCTAGGGGTATCTGGGGATCTATCGCCCTGGTTATCTCTAGTTTCCCAGCAATGGGATGGCCTCGATCGGGTAGTGGTGCAAATAGGTGGTTTCCCCTTCCTCCTGGCTTTGATGGCGGGTTCTGCCTGTCAGGGATTAGATAGGTCCCGAGTGTTGCTTGCACTAGGTGCGTTCAGGGCATTCCACTATGGTCCTTCAGGGTGTCGTACCTGGTGGAATCCAGGTGGAGTGGACGCCGGACCAAGTAGCCGGTATCCCTGGTTAGGACTGAGGGGCAACCCTCTTTCCGATGGGTTATGTGCCGTTTGAAAGCCGGTGAGCTTGATGGCCTTAAGCCATCCACCCATGGTGTGTACAGGGTTGGTGCGTAAGCTCCAGCCTACGCCATGGGGCCCGGGATAAGGGCAACTAGGTACCGGGTAGAAAAATGAAAATGAAATGAAAAATGAATGAAATGAAATGAACGTTCCAAAAGACGACGCAAGAATATCAAATCAACCTTCAATATACTCATCTGCAAACCGAAGGTGAACCGGCGAGTTTTATTAGCCACTCACTTGTGGTTGATTACAGTTATAACTGTTTGCGTAAAATTATAAAATAAACAATTGTAACCTTCGAACCCGCCATTACCACTATGCAATTCACAGCAGTTAACCAAGAACACACATACACACGCACACACACTCACTGCAACCTTAATATCGCCTTTCGGAGGCTGATGTCTCCCGTACCACACACACTCTTGCATTTCTTAACCCTTTCTAATACCTCTGTAACCTTGGATTATGCAACCATCTAGACTGTCTCTAATGATGTTTCTTGATATACCGAATGTAAACTGGGTGGTCACAACGCTCGTCTAATAATTGGGTCACCGATCCGATCCAAGAAAATAGAGTCTTTCTGATGAATCGATACTGTATCTAGCTGTACTTAAAAATGTAGCTTTCAATAAATGTTACTGGCTAAAATATCTGGTCTTGGTCAGTAGCAAACAGCTCATCTTACTCATTGCGAGCAATGAAGAACACTGATTGTTCATTTATATTTACAGCAGGTTGAAAAAAGCATTGCGTTCACATCTTACTTAAGAAAACGATTTGAAAAAAATAAATACTTACATAGTACGATCATTTAGTGTGGAGCTTTACGTCTATAAGCATACACAACAACTTGTTGTCAATACTATCCTTTTATTAGTAGATTACAAGCTCAAAATAACAGCTGAGTAAAAAACGGCAGCCGTTCAAATGTTCAAAATGGCAGATCCAAGAAATCTTTCAACGGCTGCCATTTTTTGACTCGGTTGTACCATTACTATTGACTATATAGTCAAATGTTTTACGTTTGAGTTCAAATTTGTGGCATTGTATTTTTGTAGTGAAGGCCTTTAATTCTATGTACTATCAACACATGCTTCTATTTAAGATTCCATTGACTCCTTGCGGGACGTCCACCTGATATGAGGTGTCGTGTTGATGTATCAAATCTTATTTATTTATCTGTCATCGTTTAGAACATATTAAGCCCGTGCGGACTTTACACCCTGCATACTGTCTGGATGGTATTCAGGTGTTACAGTAACATTGGCGATGCAATCTGTGCGCAGCTTCTGCCGTCTGCCTCACGTGATCACAAAGACTCATTGATCTGGTGAAAGGAGGGCAGACTGAGACTGTACAGGAATGTGAAGGTGTCATCCGCACTCAGAGCAATCGACGATGTCGATACACTCATGGCGATTGATATGTTGAGGATTGTCAGCTATGCTAATATTATGCTTAAGAAAACGATTTGCAAAAATAAAATATTTACAGAGTACGATCATTTGGTCCATTTTAATTGATTGCAACTCCTCCCACAACATAATATATAACGGAATGGATTGCATCGTTCCCTTACAAAAAAACCTCAATAAATTCCTCTTGCGTAAATAGACACAATAAGAAAACATAATGAAAATAGGTGAAAGCAGAGTAGGTTTAAAAGTATATTGTAGCGAATTTTAATTCCCATAAATTTTTTTCAGAATTTATTTTACAATCTGTTCATAAGAATATGATAACAATAAGTAATATATTTGACAAAAAAGTGGCGCACTTGTTCATCAACAAGTCTTGCCAAAAATTTGATCAATCATTTAACGATTTAAAGAAATCTGTAGCTCAGGTCTGTAAAGAAAAATAAATGAGTCTTTATTTATTTCTTTTGTAAGGAAATATTACTACTAGTTTATTTCCTTACTTCATTGATCATCCCATCAAATACAAAATCATTTAACACCTGCGACGAAGAGAGATAGAGTCAATAGAGTTAGATCGTCCACAACGCATCGAAGAAACCTTCTCAGATTATTGTGAACATTTGTTATCTACTGATTTTGCTCTCAAAACGAACTTGTCTGAAAACGACGTCATAGAAATAGCGCTGAATAAATGTAGGCCGGAAGCAAAGACTCATTTATTTTTCTTTACAAGAAGTGGATGAAGTTAAATATAAACATTACAATATAAATTCGATTGATGTGAAACTTTCCCCAAATTATTTATCTAGTAAAATCTACAATTGCTTTACAGTATATATTTAAAATATATAAATGACACTAACTTTTAAACAATGTTACTAGTTTACGTACTAAGACATGAAAGCTGCAAGAAACATGATTAAATATGCAATGTGGACAGATTGGCTCTTCTACTTAATATAAATACAATTTACACAATACATTTACTTACATACATTGAAGACAATTGACGACACTTAAACATATAGTTACAAAAACTTACTTGGGGGTGACTACGTAAAACGGTCAATTTTGACGAATTTTGCCGGTCGATGTCGGACGCTAAGACTCGATTTTTTTTAATTCAATTCGTATTATTTAGCAATCGTTGTTTCGCGATTCAGATTTCTATACACTCCGGAGACCAAACAATGCCCGATATACACGTTATGATTTTCCAAAAGTGGGTTTTTGCGAATTGAAAAGATAATTAAAGATTTCCGAACATCACCGATAGAAGCCTGGCCCCCGACCGTTGGAAAACTTCTTCGACGTTACAAGTTAATATCACTCCGCGCTCACGTGATTGGCCGTTGTTGCATCCTTGCTTTTGTGCGCGTTCTTTTTGATTTGAATTTAATCGTTACAGGTCCAACACATGAACAACACTTTTTAGTCACGTAATACACTGACCATTGTCCAGCAGATTAACAGCAAGACTGTTTGGATGATATCCTAATTTTTCTTGGTACTTTTTGGAATGGTCCATAATTTGTTCTTTCACTGATTTAATTTTGAAGTCATTCCTAATTGTAGTGTTAGATACGAACCAGGGTGCGCTAATAATTCTTCTCAGCGTCTTAGCCTGAAATCGTTCAAGAATTTCGATGTTGGATTTGCTCGAGGTCCCCCATAGTTGAATGCCATATGTACAGTTAGTTAGTTAAAAAATTTCGCATTTTAGACTCTCATATGGTTGTTAATTTACGCAATATCCATTTTTTTTTATCTACGATATTAATGGTTTTTATTAATTTACTCGTATCATATATTTTTTTTATATCGTATAATTTACTCGGGTAGGTACAGTATTTTTCATGTTTTGTTTTGTTTAACATAGATCTTTTGACAATTTATAACAGAATGACAAATAATATAAAAAACATTTGGGTATAAAAAACTCGTTTGGAATCAAACCATCGAACCTCTGTTTTGAAAGTGATCACTCATCTATTAATTGAAGATAAATATTCTAATGCGAATGTAGTAAACAGAACTATTTGCTCTAATAAGTCATTTCACCAAGGTATTTTGTTGATTGAGGAGTCATCCTACTAAATCATCCTTTAATAATATTAGTAGCACCAAACTGTCTACTCGATCTTCACAACATATATAATTTGGGTCAAAATGTTTTCTGACTAACATCCTCAGCCGCGCCACGTGTTAGTCGTTCTATGATGGATAACCGTGCAAATAATTAATTGGCTCTGCATACTCGGTAATGCTCAGTCTCGGGCGGTATCTGTTGATCCGCCTCCTGCAGCGTGTAGAGATTATCTTGCCAAACGGTTTCCGGGCAAACCGTCACTTTCCGCACGGTCTCTATCCTAGCAGTATGGTTAAAATAATAACCGTGTGCTATATAATATGCATGCAATTTTTCTGAATTGCATGGTCTTTGTCTAAACCGCGCATTTGTATAAACCTTCCGAAATAGCAATCTCGTTTTCGTTTACCTACACCATTAGAAATAGGAACTTTGTTCGAACCCTGCAGCATTGATGTAGACAGTGTGAAAATTTGTGTGCTCTTTTGTCTAGAGATTGTTGCATTTTTTAAAACCATGCAGTTTGTGACTGTGTGTTTTGTCCAATCCATCTAAACCTCTTCCACCTCGATCAAAACCATGTAGAAATATAGATTAAAATTCACCAACAAAAGAAAAAAAAGTTCAGAGATGAAACTTTAGTTTTAACTTCGATTTACCAATAAAGTCATGATCCGAAGAGTTCCGTAAGGGATGGGGAGGGGGAATTTTGATATAATTCATGATTCACGATTTGGGGTCATTTAGGAAGTCGTTTTCAATGTTTGTGTACACGGTAAATCGATAGAAAATATACTTAGGTAAAAATAACCAGCGTATGGGTACATGTAATTGTTGTTTTTTCTAGAAGGGGTAGGGGGACCGTGCAGTGTTTAACCATCTTTTGTTTAAACTTGATCGTCTCTATTGAAACTGTTCGACATTCGTACAAGCCATTGGATGGATTGCAGCCTTTAAAAATTAGTTAGGAAAAATGTATTGACAAAAAGAAAAATGAATAATCTTAGCTACTAAGAAAAAAACTCAAAAAGTAAAATACTTTCTACTGCTTATGTGAGTGGATGTTATGATTAACTCACGTTTTGGTGAGCTGTGCTGTGATGTCCAGCAAAAGTTCACCGACTTTGGCAATCTCGTCCGTGCTCCACATACGTTCCACTGGGGGAACTTGAACATCTGAGACAGACAACAAACAAAATATAGGATCAGATTAACCAGTCAACTACTTACTACCTACAACATGGCTAATGTAGGGTTAAGATTACTTACTTAAATTCTACCTAATTTTACAATTGTGGGAAGGAAATCTGGAAATTAATTAAGCAACTATCAAGGATTATTAGTTGAAAAATATAATTGATATGTTCTGAAATTAAATTACGATAGCATTCAATTTATCTAAGCACAATGGTGTTGAATTATATCGATATAGTCAACTCTTCTATATTCTACAATCTGGAAATCATCAATACTAACCAACCAAACACCAACTAAAATCCAAGGGCATCTAATATGTCAGGTTGCAATGTTAAAATGCAGGGAATAAATCTAATCTTATCATTTATTTGGATTGATAGTATCTCAGTCAGAATAAAAATTGTTAATAACCCAAGCGTTTTTATATTATAACAATTTTAAAAGAGTTCACAAAAATGTTTAAATAAGTTTTGTTACAAAACAATCGTAATATAGGCCTAAGTTTTAAAAAAAATTCAAAATTGTTTTCATATGGTTAGTAATTATATTACAAATTATTTTGATGTAAGTTCACAACAATGTTAACAAACAATTTAAATAGGCCCACAACTTCGAAAACTCATATATTTCATGTCGATAGGTCAGAATAAATAATATTGGACTTTGTATATCATTACTTTGTTTCTGTTTAATTTGCCGATCCTACATAGGTACCGTATATCTCCCTCCCTTCAAAACTATTCTGCAAAACTAGCTTTATCATCACTATTGGCGTATGTTAAGCAACGTTTCCCTAGTGCTGGTGGTGTTATAAGGTGTGGACGTAGATTGGGAGGTCAAGTCGTGTACTTCTACATGCTTTGTCCACGTTGTTCATAAGCTGTAAATTACACTATATCACTACTTGTGTAAAAGGTTAATTTATTCTAACCCTGTTTTGTAGTTTGACCCTTTAAAATTGAAGATGGTCTCCGTTAAAATAGCGGGAATTAGACTTGTTGATGGGAAACGTTTATTAGAAGGCTCGTACCTTAAATTTTCTACCCGTGTCATAACACTATTTACGCGAGTTGCGTACACTATTTTACCTACGATAGTGTCTTAATTACACTAAAAATCACTACTCATAACTTATAATAGAGGTTACGTTTTCGTTTATAACCTTTCATTGCCACTGATAGTGATGCAACGAAACACACTAATTGCACCAATCAACAATCAAATTGGCCTGAACAGCTGATTAGTTGAATTTCAAATCATTACAATTTTACTTTTCCTCTCTCAATCCTTGAACCTCATTGGTCCGTTACCGGTGTTGTTATGAGGAAAACTATGATATTATGAAAGTAAACAATGATGTTATAAGATACTTTTCAATAACAAAATTTCAATTTATTTTAAAAATATTAACCTGCGGCCGTTTTTTAAAGTAGCCATTTCAGTACAGTTCTTAGAATTGAAAAGTTTCTCATAACAGCATTGTTTACTTTCAACAGCATAGTTTTACTCATATCACCACTGGTAACGGACCAATGAGGTTCAAGGATTGAGGGAGGAAAAGTAAAATTGTAATGATTTGAAATTCAACTAATCAGCTGTTCAGGCCAATTTAATTGTTGAGTGGTGCAATTAGTGTTTGGTACAATGTTTATTATTACTGATTGGCTCGTTAGAATGAGAAATATGATAATAATATGATGACAGTCATTATTTTGTGTTAAATGTTAATTATTAACAACGGGAAACAATCTGCTTTTAAAATTTAGTCGGTTGTTACAGCCTTAACAACATATCAGTGACAGCTAGTGCAAAAATAATCGGGTCCCAAAATGTGCAGATGAAAGTTGCTACTACAGACCACAATTTATGAGAGCAGCTGAGGTTTTTCCTCGTGCCCGTCCAGTGACTGCGGTCAAAAAAAATAGTTTTTATCACATTTTTATGCCACAGTAGGGTAGAGTACTCTTGAGTGATAATACAGCAAGGGGATGCTTCAAGTTAACTAACACCCTTGACTATTGGATATAGAATGTAAGACCTACTAAGGATAATTATTTGAGTTGTAAGATTATCATACGAAGAGTGGTAAGATTATATCGGTTTCAGCATACCATATAAAAAAATATTTCACAAACATCTAAGTAAATCAAGCTATATTAGTTGGGATCATAACAGAGATGTAATAGTTTTATAGTATGATCATTAACTATTCGATAGCAATAGTCAAACATGTGAGATAGTTTGTCTTTTACTTTTGCTTGATGAATCTAATAAATGGTGTAGAAATTAAACAATATTTACAACACACAGAGGCTTGACTGAACTGAATTTCAGTTCCTAAGACTCTACAAATCTAGTATTAGCACGGAATATCTACTTTACGGCATCTAAACTTTACGGTACTGTATTTAGAGTTTGCGCTGGTTTATTTACGTTATCGTGTGAGCATTTTCAATTAATAAATAGGTTAAAAACGTTTCTTCAAACTAACGAATAAGCAAAATATTCGTTATTTCTTATTGAGTAATACAAAAGCACCCGTAATGGTACTTTTTTGACTAAAATATTTCACGTGAACGAACTTTTGGCTGATTTTAGAGGAGGAAATCCCTTATTCAGTATTCTGATTTCAAAATATCACTCCCGTTACAGCAATCCCTCCCAAACTTTGTCTCCGTTTCTCGTTGCGTAACGTTTAATCCTCCGTTCTTGGCCATCTGCGGAGTGATCGATTAGAGTGCGAGGAAGAGTGAAGGCAGGTGCGTGACAGACGCGTTACGTCACATAACGTGCTAATTACCATGTGAGCGTCACGACTGCGCCGCACGTTCAACGTATCACCATCACGTATCGACTACTTGTGTCTCAGAATCAAATCACAGGCTGCACTAGTTTACGTCTTACACTCATTCGAATAAAAACTATCGATATGTTGATTATTCGATATATCGATTATTTCATTCGGTTAGTTAGGTTAGGTTTTAACCGTAACCTTTAAACCTTAAACTTGATATATCGAATTAAATAATCGATGTATCGATCGATATATTCATTCGAATGAGTATAGGACTAATCTAAAGTGCAGCCTCGCATGATCCCGCATGGTTACTGTTGGGTGTATTGCACTGTTTGACTATAGGGTCTTTTCAAGAAGAGGGCCGCTACTGGTAGAACTTGCACTATGAAAGTTAGTTTAGGATAGGTTAGGTTAGGTTAGGTTAGGTTAGATTAGGTTAGGTTAGGTTAGGTTAGGTTAGGTTAGGCTAGGCTAGGTTAGGTTAGGCTAGGTTAGGTTAAGTTAAGGTTAGTTTGCATCAACTGCATTTGCATAAGGTAAATTCAAATTGTGGCGGACCACTTCTTGAAAGACCCTGAATGTATGGTAGAACGTTTATATCGTTGGGTAGGACATTCAACTGGAACTTTGGGTAAGAAAAGTAAATCAACTTAGCTGTAACGGTGAAGACGCATGATTCATTTTTTCTAACCATCAATCAAGGTCGACCTTCGAGTAGGATTTCTTTCACTTTGAGCCTGTTTTAAAACTTGAACTACATTCAGCAGCATTGAAATAATGGAGGGAAGAATTTAAAGTACAATACATTTCCTCAAAATCAACCAAGTGATGTTAACTATTGATTATCAGTAAAATTGTTAATCCAGGTTGGTCCTGTTTGTAATATTTCTGTTAAACTGAGCTAATTTGATACTAAATTTTAATTGGAATTTTACAGCCAATAGGGAGTTGTTGAAAGGGTACTGGAAAAGAGGAGTGTTACAAAATCTTATACTAGAACCTTTTTTTTAATTAGAAAATTTGAATTCCCTAATTTAGTTTTAGGTTTTCTTTCATTTGCTTTCTTGAGGAAAATGTCTCATTGGCTCTCTGCACAAATTATATAGGAGGTGAAAATTTAACATAATTGCAAAATGACTAACGGATTTTAGAAAACCAAATGTTCTTAGACTATTCTTTCCCTGTATCTTACGTCGACTTCAAGGCAGCATTTTTTATTATAATGCACAATACCGACCTCGAATCAGTGATAAAACCAACATAAATTCAAGGGCACTAATTACTCGTATTATCAAGCCCATTATGAGATCCATTAAGACATTGCATCGACGTTTGCCTCGCTGCAATGCATATGCTGCAGCTCACGAATCAATTACAGCTCTGCAACCTCGCCTGGCTCCATTCCTCATTAGATAACGAGGCATGACCTGCTTGTAATGTTGATTGAATGTCTTATTTACAATCAGCTGTTTAATTGTTAACATTTCCTTGCATTTAATTAACGTGCATTGATATATTCCTTCTATGGTGTCCAAAGTGTTGTGGTTTAGTCAGCTTGTAATGTTGATTGAATGTCTTATTTACAATCAGCTGTTTAATTGCATTTAATTAACGTGCATTGATATATTACTTCTAAGGTGTCCAAAGTGTTGTAGTTTAGTCCACTTGTAATGTTGATTGAATGTCTTATTTACAATCAGCTGTTTAATTGTTAACATTTCCATGCATTTAATTAACGTGCATTGATATATTACTTCTAAGGTGTCCAAAGTGTTGTAGTTTAGTCCACTTGTAATGTTGATTGAATGTCTTATTTACAATCAGCTGTTTAATTGTTAACATTTCCTTGCATTTAATCAACGTGTATTAATATATTACTTCTATGGTGTCCAAAGTGTTGTGGTTTAGTCCGCTTGTAATGTTGATTGAATGTCTTATTTACAATCAGCTGTTTAATTGTTAACATTTCCTTGCATTTAATTAACGTGTATTGATATATTACTTCTATGGTGTCCAAAGTGTTGTGGTTTAGTCCGCTTGTAATGTTGATTGAATGTCTTATTTACAACCAGCTGTTTAATTGTTAACATTTCCTTGCATTTAATTAACGTGCATTGATGTATTACTTCTATGGTGTCCAAAGTTTTGTGGTTTAGTAACCCATATATGGTTGTCGAGCGAT